AACAGATAAGACGCTTTTATTTTTGTTCAATTAATAGTCCACCGGGGACATAGCCCCCGGTGGCAAATACAATATAGACTTTAGCATTCAATGCTGTACGCTAATAATACTTGTTTTATTGCAGGGGACACCAAGCCCCCCCTGCTGGGCCAAGACGAACACAAGAAAAGCGAGGACCTCTCGGTGTGGGTGAAGCAGAATAATAATATTGGGACGGCTAGTAGGCCGCCCCAATATATCAACATGTCCACCAACAACTAAAATAAATATATATAAATAAATAAATCGTGGATGCCCCGCCGCTGCGGGGCATGCGCACAGCGCGTTTATCTGAGTTTTATTTCTTAAAGTTACTCGCGACACACACTCCTGCGTACATTTATACATTTATAGACAGACACTTATGTACATTATCACAATATACGTACAATCGCGACATGCGCAACCGATGGCACGTCCCTCCGGAACGCAGGACCCGCCGCAGAATAAATAAATAAATAAATAAATATGACGGTACATACACGCTAAAATAAATAGTAAATACAATAAAAAAATGTAAATAAAATAGATAAATATATACAATAAAATAGCAATACGTTTAAAATGTGCAACCGCAGTGACGACGGCGACTGACACAGTCGCCACCGCCCCCGCGGCAGTCAATCATCTCAAACAGTAAAATACAATATAATTTAAAACAAATAGAAGTCCCCGCGTGTAAGGGGCGCGATAAAAAAATAAATATATAAATACAATTAAAATGCAGCAGCCGCGACGACGAGAGCGCCCTGACAGCCGCTCCCGCCGGCGCGGCAGTCAGACACTTCAAAAATAAATACATAAATATATAAATATATAAAAAGGTGCGGGTCCCCCGGGGCAGGACGTGCCCTACGCGACATTCTCACCAACGATTTAGGCACGAGAACTTTCGCCTCCGCCATCCGCCCGCGCGCCAGTCACACGGCGACGAACCGCGCGAGGCGGAGAAACTTCCGGAACACTACCGTCTACAGGCCGCGGAGGTGCCTCGTACTGGCGGACGCCGGACACGTGCTCCACGTAAATATCCCGTGACCAGCGAATGGTATCCGATACCATAAGTCGGCGCATCATCGCCCCATACGCCTTGCTTACGCGCAGGAGCTCCAACACCGGCTCATTCCTCGGATCCCACGAGCCAAGGGCCCCGACGACGAAGGCCGTCACGACGACCCGGTATCCCCGCCGTTGGAGCGCTTCAGCCAAGGGCGAGTATTTAGCAACTTTCCTCGCCCTAGCCTCATCAAACGCCGCCCAACGGTTTTCGAAGGGAACCGTGACGTCGCATATGACGACGCTCTTCGAGGGCTCGTGCCTGACCACAAGGTCAGGTCGTAGCGCCCCGAGTTCCCCCTCGAGACCCCTGACCCGCTGGTTAACCGTGATCGACCCCGGCAGACGACAGGCCTTCCTGAGTCGCAGCAGGATCGAGTCGTGACGCCACTGGACGGCAGCAGAATGTGGTCCACAGTGACAAAGCACGTGAGGAAGGGTCTCAGCCACTTCTCCGCATCGCCGGCAACGCCTGTCACCCTCCCCCCATCTGCGCGCCCCATTTAAGGGGAGCACGTCAAGGCGGGCTCGGTGTACGAAGCGCCAATCAGCAAAGCGGGTGAAGCTGCCGCCACGCATGAAGTGATTGCTCACTCGTGCGCGCGACGAGACCTCGAACACCTTCCCCTGATCAGGTTTTGTGATCCACGTGTAAGTGTACCACTCTGCCACCGCCGCTCGCAGGCGCCCGATCACCTGGGCACGAGCCCCAGGTGGGATCTTAGTGACCCTGCCGCGTGGCCCGCGGCATTGGAGGACGAACTCCTCACGCTCCTCACACCACAGCCACCGAATGGCCAAGCGCTCAGATTGTCTCCGCGCAGCATTCCGGGCGCTCGACCAGAGCGAGGATTCCCCGCCCACCCTTAGCCTCCCCTCGAGCGAGCCCGAGAGGAAGGCGGCGACGTCACCGCACGTCGGGTGGGTGCCAATCCGGCGGCGAACCACTGCCCGCAGCGACGCCCAAGCCAGGTCCCTGACCGCCCGGTCGTCCGCCGTCAAAAGACGGAAGACGTGAGCGATCGTGAGGACGTCGGCGAGGTCAGCGAGCGGAAGCAGTCCACATCCCCCCCTGCTGGGAGGGAGGTAGACCACCTCCGCGCTGGCGCGCTGAGGGAGGTTCAGCCAGCCTTTGACTAACCTGCGGATCTGCAGGTCCAAGGCTATCAGGGGACGTTTCTCAACTCTGGCTCCCCGAAGCAAGAAGTCGAGCCGCGGCAACAGAAAAGTCGCCACGGCCTCCGACTTCTGCCACGGGGCAAGGAGCGACCGGTCAATCGCGCGGAGGTCCTCGCCCAAGGCCAACATAGCAGCATTAGGCGTTTGGTTGACGGAGAAGCCCGTCGGAATGCCGAGGTGCTCATAGGCCTCGCCTTCCGCCAGGGACTTCACAGTCCGGCCCTGGATGACGAAGGTCGTCGACAGGACCCTGCCGCCTCGCCCAGCACCGACGTGCAGGGTGGCACATTTAGCAGGGTTGAACCGCAACCCTATCGACGATGCTTCGCCCTCCGCGACTGCAAGCAGTCTTCGCATTTCGCCCGGGGTCCTGGAGACCAGTACCAGGTCATCTGCGTAGGCCATTACTGACCACCGCGAGCCCAACAGCTCGACCCCGAGACCGGTTTCGGTAACTGCACGCAGCACCGAATCGATCACGAGATCGAACACTATGGGGCTCAGCGGGCATCCCTGGCGTACACCCGAGCGAATGGGAATGGGCGCGGTGAACCCGTCTCTGGTTCGCACACGCGTAGTGCAACCATCGTACATGGAGCCCCATATTGCTATGAGGCTCCGCGGAACGCCGGCTCGCACAAGGGCGCGGCGGATCGTGTCATGGGGAACCGATCCAAACGCGTTGGAAAGGTCAAGCCACGCCACTACCACCTCCCGGCGGTCCCTCCGGGCATCGGTCAGGATTTCCTGAAGGACGAAGTTGTGCTCGTAGCACCCCTCGTCCCTCAGGAAGCCCTTCTGAGCCGGACTTAGCTTTCGGTTAGCGATCGCCCAGTCGGTCAGGCGATCGGCCAACACCGCCGCGAAGAGCTTCGGGATCGTGTCCCCGAGCGCGAGAGGACGCCAGTTCTCCAACATGTCCCGATTTCCTTTTTTATACACCAAGACGGTGTTAGAGGTCTTCCACCTCGCGGGGACAGCCTCGAGCCGCAGGCAGGCGTTAAACACTGCGACGAGCAGCCGAGCCGTCGGATCCGAGACACGGAGGTCACGGTAGGTCAAACCATCTGGTCCGGGCGCAGAATTATTCATGCGCCGGAGCCTCCGGTCGACCTCTCGCTCCGTAATCGGTCGAATCAACTCAGCCGCTATCTCGTCATCGCCCGAGGCCTCGGGCAGCTCCGCAGGCGCCGCACCGTTCAGACTTCCCGCGCCGCAGTATACTCCTCTGAAGTATTCCGACACCCGCTGTGTGGATACGTCGCACGTATCCGCGGGGCCGGAAAGGACTTCTCGGACCGCTTTGCGACGGTTCTTTCTGAACAGCGCTTGTAAGCGCGCTGCTTCGCGTCCCGTTTCCGCGCGAGATTCTCTATCGAATAGAGGGCGTTCCGCCGGTGCGGACGCCCCCTCGCGTCTGGCGCCGTCCCCCGCCCTACCCGCTCCCCGCGCGTTATCGCCGGCCTCTCGCGACCGTACCGAACGACCACGAGGACGCGGCACGCCCCCGCCCTGCTCGCGTCCCCCGAAGAACCCGACGACTTGCGTCATCAGGCGCTCAAGGTCAGCGAGCGTACCCGCCGAGTCCGCCGCCGCGACGAGACGTCGCCTCTCGGCAGTCTTCTGTCGCGCCGTGAGAGGCGCAACAGGCGCCGCCACCGGCTCTCGTCCCGCCGCGGCCGGCGGACTCCGCGGGATTGCGGGCGGACGCGCGCCGCCCCTCGCCCTACTGGCTGGTACCGCCGTCGCCCCCATCCTCCCCGGACGCCCCTCGCCGACGGACGCGCGCGTTCCCCGTCGACCCATAACCCCGCGGACATCCCGTGGAGCACCCGAATGTACGGCGACGCACTCACCAGCAACTCCCCGACGCGTCGCATCCTCCGCGGGTCCTGCTGGCAGCGTCCTTTCGCTCCCCGTGCTCCTCGCAGCGACCCCCAGTAAGGGGGGATAATTCGCCACCGTGATGGGCGGCGGACTAGGCGCCGCACGCGCCTCCGTGCCCGAAGCCTCATCACTGGACGAGAGGCGCGCCCTCCTCGCTCTTCTCCGCGCGGCTCTCCCCTCGGCCACTGTCCACTCCTCTTCTTCTGAGTCCACTGCCGTGCCGCCGCCGACGGCGCCGCCCCCCTCGCTGCCGCTGCTGCTCGTGGTGTCGTCGACGACGCCTCCCCGGATGGTAGTGGTGGTGGTGGTGGTGGTGGTCGTCCTCTGGGCGGGGCGCGGCCGGAGCGCCCTCCTGGACGGGACCTCCGCTTCGCAGAGGGCGCTCCCTGTCGCCCGGGGCCTGGTGGCGGGCGCCCCGGGCGATCCCGCTGTTGTAAACCGCGGCCCCGCGACGATCGCCGCGGTCGGTGGCGACGTATGCGCCGGCGGCGTAAAACGCGACACGGGGGGCGAAAAATACCCCCCGCGCGCGCCCGGGAGCCCCGTAGACATCACGGGACTCCCAGCCGCCGCCGTCACCACCGTCGCGGTCGTTAAAGTCGCCGGCGCACAACTCACGGGCGTATAGGCGGGCAGGCATGGTGGAGACCCGCCCGCCGCCGCCACGAACACACCGCGGATGTTCGGCGGTGTGACGGGCGACATGTGAGTGATGAGGGAGGATCTAGCCCCGACCGTGCACGGCGGTATGAGGGGCGATCCTCCCTGTGACGCCCGCGAGCATCCCCCGGTCGGCGTGACGCGCGACATCGCCGCCGTCGTCGCGGCCGACGAGACGCGCCTCGGGTCCGCACCGTCTTGCGGCGGTGAAAACCACTCTTGAGGCACGCTCGGCGGCCGCGAATCAGGCGGCGACTCGTAAAAGTCGCGCAGCACGCCGACACGTGAGAACGCGCCGGCAGGTTCCGACTCGCGAGTCGCGGCTCTATCGCGGGGCGCGCAGTTCGTGGCCGCGCCCGCTCGACTCACCGGCGTCGTCTCTGTGTGCAGCGGCGCTGTCGGAGTCTCCAAAATGGCCGCCCTCGGTACACCGGCCGTTGTTCTCGACGAAGCTGTTCTCGTCGCCGGTGCCCTCGTGACGGCCGCGTACGAGGGGGACACGGCGCTCCCTCCAGGGCGCGCCGCGGTGTACGCCGACGGCGACGGCGTCGTTGACGTCCGCCTCGTTGGTGGCGGCGGACGCAGTGCGGCAGTGGACCTGGTGCTCCTCAGTGTGCGTGTCGTGGTGGCAGTGAGTGGTGTCCTCGTGGACAGTGCCGTGCCGCGCGTTGCCGCGCCTCGGGTGAGACGCCCCTCACCCTCCGAGGCAGGCTCCGGAGCCGCCCGCGTACGCGTCCGCACGCCCGATGTTCCGGCGCGCGCGACGGACGCCGACGGTACCGCGCTCGCTGTGAATGGTGACGAGGTCGCCGCGGACACCGGCGACGCGACTGCCGACGTCGTCGTCGTCGCCGGGACGCGGGGGGACGAGCGACGGGCTGCCGGCGCCATCCCCCGGGCGACCGAGTGCTCCTTTTCATAGTGGTCCTTAACCCACTTTTGCGGATATTTTTTTCCGTGTGGCGCGCGGTAGCCACATATGGAGCACTCGTACGTGAGTGTGTCGCCCGGGTGAAACGTTTTCTGATGGCGCGCCAAGTGCAGCCCATCGCTAAACGTGCCCTTGTCCCCCTTTGCTGGTACGCGGCGACACCCGGCCCAGCACCTGGGGCACGTAATGCGCTCAGGCACCGGGAACGGGATCACCACGACCTCCGGGCGATCCTCGGCCATAGTGAAAATGTGAAAAATGTGTAAAAGTGCTGTGAGAACACACGCGAGTGACGAGGCTTAGTATCGGTACGGCGACCGCGCTCGCCTCGGTTTTCCGCAGTACGTAATCGTACCCGGGTCCCCGCGACGAGCCAATGTCGCTCGTACGTCACGCGCCGACGTCCCCGACACAACGCGCGCACTCGCACAGCGGATAAACTATTGATTGAATTGTGATTTGCAGTTAAAATTCCGAGCCGGTGAGGTTATGTGCGAAATCTGCCCGTCACTGCCTGTGCAATGTGGAGCTTCACCAGCGCGCGTCCACCAAGTGTCCGCAGCACCGGATCGTCTCCACAAAGGACGTGACAAGCTTCACCTCTCGAGCACACAACCGCCGACCCGGATGCAGTAACAGAGAGGACAGCTTCAGAGAGGCTCGAGTCAGCGGTCACTGTGTCACCGCTGAGATCTGCCCACAGCAGGCTGAGGACTTCTCCCAGCAGCTATCCAGCAACTACGTCACTCCCGGTAACCTCTCCTACACTAATCCTCTCTGTATATGACTATTGTAACTATTGAGCGAGCACGGCCCCGGCAGAGACTCTGTTCTCGAGCCTGTTGACTACTCGGCTTAGTCAACCGCGCACAGACACACTCACGCTTTGTGAGAGAGAATATATATGTAACAGCGATCCTGAGCTTTAAATAAATAAATTAATAAATTAATTCATTAATCTCCAGGCTTACTTCCGGTTCTTGTTGTTATTTATTACTTTGCTTCCTTCCAGTGCCTCACCGCTGCCTAACTGTATCACAGCAGCAGCGGTCTCCCAACTAACAACTCAAATTACTAATAAATCAGCAGGAACTGCTCAAGACAATAATAAATGGCACTAGAAGGAAGCCACCGGAAGCATCCACGCAGCAGCGGCCACTCCTAACCCTCTGAGATGTAGTAATGTGCCACACAAGAAATGTGACAGTTATAGGTTAGGAGGGCCAGGCAGGTATGCTATGTTGTTATAAATAATTATTGAAATTATGCAGATATGGTGGAAATCTGTTGCAACCTGCCTTACTGACACCGCCGCATGGCAACAACCTGGAGATCGCCAAGGGAGAGGAGGCACATGAGGTAACAGAAATAGTCAGCGGTGGATGTCAGTACATCTCACCGCTGACCATACAGGTGTGAGGCTTTTAACTAAATATCTTTGGTTTTCACTATACTACAATACTGAATTGCCTCACACCATGAGAATCAAACTAATTATGGTGTTTTTCTGTCACCCCATGACACCCCATGGCAGTGCAGGCGCAGTATGACACAGCACAATGTGCTGTGTCGCAGAGGAGCTGTAACCACCAGTCAGCTGTCACAATGACAGCCGCCAGGGATTTTATGACAGCTCCCCGCTGTCCCGTGCCGTCGGATGGTGAGTTTTTAACAATAAATATTAATATTAATTATTGTGTGGCAGGCGGCATGTGAGTCCTTTTTATATTAAAACTAATAGCTTTTTAGGCAGTGGCACATTGCATTACACGCATTTACCACTGCCCCAATAAATATTTATACACTGCAATAGATTTTTAATATTAATTTTGTATTTAGAATACTTTTACACGGGCTTTTATTTGCCACGTGTAACATTTAATAGAAATAGCCGTTAGAATAAGGCAAATTTCGCAGAGGTCATGCCGCCCGACCAACACAACAATGACAGGCACGGGACTTAGATTTTTCGCCTGCAACTGTCGCAGTCCCCCTTGGCAAGCACAGGACCACTGCACACCTGTCAACTAAACGCATGCTAATCACTTACACTAATTAACCGCTAATTATCACAAAAATAACTAATTCTCTCTCACACACAGTATATAGAAAACTTATTCGAATTTTCGCAATACTCTGTGCTAAGATATTATTATAAACATTCTATCAACAGGGGAAGCAACGCGCGCGAGCCCTGGACAACGGAAAACCGGCGGTGCCTCCGGCGACGACGAGGACCTATGCAACGAGCGCGAAATGAAAACTCTGAGGGCCCAGACTCTGCAACTGATTTTCTCTGCCATCCAGCATCTAAAGAACATAAATTATGTTTAATTAGACCTGTTGGGCCGAGCCCTGCAGTACTGCAGCGCGGGGCCGACCCGTGGAGGGGTCGGAGCAAGCTCCGGTCACCCTCCTGGCTTCAAAAATCAGTTTAATATTCTGAACCCTCGTTGAGGGTTGTATCAGATATTAAGCTGATAAGAACAGATAAGACGCTTTAATTTTCAGCAAATGTTCCACCGGGGACATAACCCCCGGTGGTAAATACAATTTACATTTAGCATGTAATGCCGTACGCTCATACAAAATTATTTTTTGTTGCAGGGGACACCAAGCCCCCCCTGCTGGGCCAAGACGAACACATGAAGAATAATAAATTACTCGCGTGGGTATGCAGATATAATATGATTGGGACGGCTAGCAGGCCGCCCCAATATATCAATTCATTATACCTCAGAATAAATAAACATATAAATAGATATGTACAACACAATTATTTAATACCCCGCCGCTGCGGGGTATGCGCACGGCGCGTAGATCTGTTTAATACTTATTTCTATTCACGACATCCACTCATACGTACACTTATCCGCTAGACGCATACATGTATACATGATAGAACAAAGGCACAACATCCGCTGCATTCACTCACGCCGACACGTCCCTCCGGATCGCAGGACCCGCCGCAAAATAAATAAATAAATAATATGACAAAACAAGCACGCTAAAATAAATGGTAAGATATAATAAAAATACAGATAAAATAGATATATATATACAATAAAAAATAGAAAGGTTTAAAATGTGCAGCCGCGGGGACGATGGCGACCAATACAGTCGCCATCGCCCCCGCGGCAGTCAAACATCTCAAACATTAAAATAATACCAATTAAAACGAAGAAAATGTCCCCGCGTGTAGAGGGCGCTACGATAAAATAATAAATAGATAAATACGTCTAAAATGCAGCAGCCGCGACGGCGAGAGCGCCCTTACGGCCGCTCCCACCGGCGCGGCAGTCAGGCACTTCAAAAATAAATATATATAAAAGTTGCGGGTCCCCCGGGGCAAGACGTGCCTTACGCGACATTCTCACGAACGAATTAAGCGCGAGAACCGTCATCTCCGCCATCCGCCCGCGCGCCAGTCACACGGCGACGAACCGCGC